CATTCAAGAGTATCTGAATATGTAGCTTTCGACCAAAAAATGAGATAGTGCTCGATTTTTGAATTGCGCGCACCTTACGGTTATTAACACACACATTGAATTAGATTGTAGAGGAAATACAAAACTGCACAGAACATGTTTAATACTTTAATCAAATTTATTTTATTGTGATATTTCGACAAGTTCTCTTGCCATCATCAGACAATAAAGATTGTTACAAAGTGTCAAAAGAAAGAAAGTATATATATAATAGTAAACGTAAAAACAGGAATTTTCTACATTATTCTACAATTTAACAGAAGAGATAAAAAGAAGCTTCTTTTTTGTTCGAAGAACATTGTTTTAGCCAAAGACTTTTAATTTATACTTAACTTCATCGAAAAACGATTGACCTGTCTGGTGAACAAAAGAATTTGAGAACATGGATGAGAATAAAGAAACAAAACCAATTCGTCTTGATAGGAGAAAAAAAGACAATTTCGCCAAAACATTTGTTTTTGGGGCAGTTAAGGTGCGTGCAATTCAAAAATCGAGCTTGTTGTTTATATTTTTGGATAATAAATTCGTCAATATACCCATCGATGAGACATCCATTATGAATAATACCTGCTTGATTTTTAATTGAGATCGAGTGAATAGCACAATGAATAGTATACCAATAAGCAATTTATTCGGCCAAATGTTTAGTTTCATGAGCTAATTTGTATAATCCTTGTAAACATGATTCTGAACTGTAGTAAAGTAACAGTGTTCATTGTTCACTTGGCTGACAGAAAAATGAACCAGTTTTAGAGCACTATCTGTATTTATTTGCTGTTCTTAATTACGATCAGCTTTTAATCATGATTAGCGCATTCACATTGTTTATTTAACCATGATTAAAAAAGGATGTGGTCACACTACAAAATCGTTAACTCTTTCCAGCCGGCTGTTTCGAAAACACAGCAAAAAGTGTTGCCAAATGGCAACATCAGGCTGGAAAGGGTTAATCATGGTTAACTTTAATCATGATTAATTTGAATCGTGATTAAGGCTGTAGTGTGACCCTAGTGTTAATCTGTTCACAGAAATGCTTAAGGAAAATTATTTAAAAGAAAAGACAGCAATGTAAGATACCCATTACAATATCATCTAAATTATTATCTTTTTGTAATTTAGAATTTAACATTAAATCATAATTGTTGTTAACGATTCGTTCGATTTCTTTAACAGTGGGAAAAATTATCAATTCAGATGAAATTGGTTTATTAGTACTGTTGCATAAACATGAAGATTCATTTATTTCCAACGTACAACTTGTACAGTATTCAATTTTTGTATATTCGAATTTTATATTCAATTTATCCCATAAATCAATACTTGAAGATGGTGGTAATTGACGTTGATCATGCACAAGATTTAATAATGTCAACAATTGATTTGTTTTTGTTTTGTCGAGATTCGCCTGACATATATATTTTGCTATTTCTAATTCTATTTTTGGTTCAGTATCATGTATATCAAACATTGAGTCAACAATGAAATCATTATCAAAATTTTTCTATTTTTTATCATCATAACAATTTTCGAATTCAACATTTGCAGTAAGAATTACTAGGTGTATGAAATAAAAAATAATAACTATTTTCCTAATAGCTCGATAGATCCGTCTGACGTTCAAATGATCTTAAAGAAAAGTATTACCATTATCGGTATGATTTGTATCACTATCGTTATTATTTTCTTCTTCATAAAAAATAGAAAATCTATTAATAAATATACAATAAATGGAAAGATCAAACTATCGGTTAAAAAATGAACTTACTTTGACTATACAGAGCAGGTGAATCAGTAGATGTATTATAATTGTTATTATCTTCTTCATCTGAAAATGTAGAAGCTATTAATTAAGATAGCATAACCAGATAGATGAAAATATCAAATGAAAAATAAAACCAACCTTGTGTACACATAAGAGAAGAATCAGTCGATGTAGAAGCATCGGGACAGAATAGGCTAGTAAGCCTTTTGCTTCGTTAACTTGCCGATGTTTGCTACATAATCGTTCTATACGGAAAATATTCAGTAAGCAAAATTCTCTATGTGATAAATTAAATATGATATTGTTTTTTTGCAGCTGCAGCTGCAGCAAACAGTAACAATGAATTTAAATAACTTTCATGGATTTTTTTCAAGTAAACTTACTATATGCCTTTGCATCTTCATCATTGGTCTGTTCATGTTCATCCTGGTAAATTTTCGACATTAATCCTGTATGGCTTAGACAACAATCTAAAACAGACAGTATAATATTATTAAACAAAATCTAAAAAATAAAACAGATAAAATATTAAAGAAACAAATAGTAATCAGCACCGCAAATAATCCAGTTTGAATCAGAAACATACGTGTGACTATAGATATAGGCGACCACGCTTTTCTTATAGCGAAAAGATGGCCGTTCCTTAAGGAATAATCAGTTATCTCCACACTTTGCCGACACACGAAGGACACAGTATTTTTTTATTGTACCTTCATATAGTGTGAGAGCTGTTCAAAAACGAAAAGATACGTACGATATTCATTGTTATTCATTAGCCTGTTCTGTCTAATTAGTCCAGTCAAGTTTATAGATATACAGTATAACAAACAGAACCATTACACTAATTATTTTTGCCTCTTCTCAATAAATCCAATGGATAAATTTCATAATCATATACGACTACATGACGTTTAGACACTATTCCACATTAGATATATATTTGACGAAAAAAGAGATTCAATTACGTTTGAGATCACACTGACTTCATTCTTGATTATGGTAGTTTCTAACTGGACTTAATATAAAACACCCAAGTCCAAGTCTGTCAACTAATACTTCAAACAGGGACTTGAACTCGTCCATCTTTGAGCAGGTGTTCCACCCTGCTCTACCGTTTCTCGATTTTGTTGCATTTTTGTAGCAAAGATGGCCAGAAATTGGAGAAAACAGCAAATATCTGCGCAAAAACCGTAAAAGTTGCAAACAAAAGTTTGCCAAAATCGGAGGAAACTTACTCTATTCTTTCACAAAACTGGATTAAGTTTCCAGCACTTGTGGCTCAGAGCGGAGCAAATTTCCAACGAAATTTCTGGAAGCAGAGGAAGTGTACACACCCCTCACATGAACGGTGGCTCCGCCACTGAGTCTGTGGAGATGGAACCTTTTTGATTTATCCGTTTTCCGAAAACTTAGTGCTTGATTCGAAACCTACTGCTTTTGGAGGTAACTAATCGGTTTCTCGAAATTTTCGTCGATCTTATCGCTGTTTCTTTTTGTCTGAGCAAGACGTGTCATTGCTAGTGTAGAAACCAAGCAAGATAAGATACAGTTCAGATTTAATGAAAATATTCGCGCACAAAACATCTGCCGACAAACAGTAGGTAATTTTGCAACTGAAGTTAAGCGCCAAAGTTTTGATAGGACTCTCACTAAAGGATCGACGGAAATTTCGAGTAAGCGATTAGTTACCTCCAAAAGCAGTAGAAACAACAGACAGTAAGTTTTCGGAAAACGAATAAACCAAAAAGTTTTCATCTCCACAGACCAGAGATATACGATAAGAAATCTAATAAGTATATGGCGAAAACTGATGCTTTCGAGAAAGTTACTTACTGATTTAACACTGATTTATTCGACCCAGACAACAAGAATGAAGCTAGGTAACACTGTTTTCGACCCGGTTAAGATAGCTGCCCCTCGAAAAGTTTAACCCAGGACCGGACGATACATTCTTTTTCCTTCGTTCTTTCTTTATTTACACATTTGTATTGCATATTTCCTTCTGTCTTTTATTTTATTTGTCCTACACTAACAGTTTGTTTTTTACTTTCGATTCAGTTTTTTATCGAAGAAAAGACAGAAAGCATAAAAGACTGTTCTTTTCTACCTGCAGGTACATTGATGTACAAACATAACGTAACAAAAAAATAACAACATTAGACAGAAAAAATTTCTCATCATCGTACGATTGCAAATAATTGTGCTCATATCCCTTTTCATTTACACACAAATTATCCTACAGCAAAAACGTAAGCACTAATTCAGATTCCTTGTCTAATAAACTCACGAATGTTCAAGAAAAATTTCTTTTAATCAAACTTTGCTAATAAACAACAAAACGAATTCAAACACATGGAGAAAAAGAACTGAGAAAAGAAGCAAATTCTGTGTAGCGATATCCGATACTAACATGTGTAAGGTTAGAAATATTGATCAAAAACAGTGATGAAAAAATAATAATAATTTTTTTCACGTAAATAAAACCAGGTCCAATTGTTCGGAATAATAATACAAAAAGCACCTGGTTTATCTGTAATTTTAATATTGGATAAACTGGCGAAAAAACAACTAACAAGTCCCATTGCTCTAAGATACTTTCCATCACAATACGTTGAAAAACCAATAACTTTAAGTTAGCTTGTTTCGAGTAACATTCATCATGTATAAATACCCATCTACACCATATATCATTCGGTGTAAATTTACTACTTGTACCATATGTTGAGAATAAATAAGGTGACGAGAGAGCTGAATTTGTTGTGATGGGTTGAAACATATGTACATTCAATAGTTGAGCTTTTTCATAAGTTGAAAACCAGTTTTTCAATTCATCGAATGCATCTATCTGAAAATGTTTGCATGATGGTAAACCGGCTATCAATGGTGTCGAAAATCCTATAAATGCATTTGTTACTGAATCATATTCTATTTTTCGTATAACACCTGTAGAGTCTTCGGACATAAATCCATAACGACAATCAATTACACTTGCATGTTTCAATAAATGATCTATTTGAAATTTACCTTCTTCAATTACATTCTCATTGTTATTCGATGTT